CACCACTGTCTTGGGTCTTCATATGGTATGGCTATAGAAATTGGCTTGGCTTCAGAAATTTCCCCACTGTGGGATCAATAAAGTACCTACCTACCTAAACCTGCCATGTAGTTATACTTTTGATTTATTTTGTTGTGAATAAGCAAGCACTGGTAAAGAAGAGAAGCACTTGTCATTTATTTAACAATGTAGTCTGCTTCTTGGCATGATATTGAAATTGACAGTTAAGAAATGGTAGGTCTGGAATATGGATCTAAATTGTTTACAACTGTGGTGTTCAATTGGTTGGGACATAGTTGTCTATTAAGATGACAGATAGAAGTCTCCCTATACTGGGCTATGTCTGCCGAGTTTGTTCTGCTCCTTGCAGAAACCTGTGCAGTACAGTATGTGCACAATCAGCAGCATTTAATGTGTATTAGGACTGAATGATGTATCGTTTTTCAAATCGAAATCCTGAACAGAACAGTTTTCAAATCACAAAAGCTGCGATTTAAACTGCCATTAAAAAGTGTTTTTAAATGCTACAGATTCTAAACAGTCGGACCAGCAACTCCGCAGGCTTCAGATGCACACACACCACCCTCCTTCGCATGCTTCACATGAAACCTGCAGAGTAAATTAGTGAGTGGGCACAAAAAGGCATACAAATACATTTCACTTTGGTGATGTTAGTTGCGCACAACAGTGAGCAAAAACCAAATGTAGACAACTGAGTAACACTTGTGTCAAAGTGAAACGGTAAGTTGGTCTTCCAGACCTGTTTTAGTTTTTGAGCAGAGGATGCATGGCATGAACAGGTGATGTGCCAAAGTGTCTGGCTAAGGTAGTGACAGTGTGAGGAAACACAACAAATTTACTCCAACATTTAAAAAAACAAAACACAGTTGCTACCTTTTCCTTATAATACAGGATTTTCTGTTTTGATAAATATAATAGCCTGTCCCATATTAGATTAATACTGGATGCAATTAGTCATTTTTAATGCTTAAATTTATTGTCCACAATAGTGAAAACTTCATAATAACCTACTAAACAAAACCAATTTAGAAAAGCAGTGAGATCAGAGGATGAAGACAGGCTCTGTCATCTTTATGCATGTGGAGCAGTGCAGCCTGCTGTGGTTCAATGGCTGTTGCCTCTCTCACCCTGTCTCCCTCCACCAATTACTTTGGTTCAGTCCAAAGGCTCCGCCACCCTCTTACTCTTTGTACCATTATCATCCTTAAAGACTGAGGCAGCAGCACTGACTGTTGTTGACTCACTTTACTTGAATAACACAGTTTAAAAAAAGACAAAGGTGTAGCAGAGAAAAAAAGTTGAATGCTTCAAATAGTTCAGTGCATCTAGCAATTGAAACTGTGCAAACAACAGAGGATTCAGGACCGCTGAGTCCACTACCAGTCACGTTTGACTGCATAAGAGGTAGGCAGAATGAAGCTAGCCTGAGTTTATGCAGCATGTTGATTAGCTTAGTTTTGTGCCCTGGTTTAATCAAAAGTTCTAATACACAATTCAAAGTCTGTGATGAGCTCAGATCTGCAGAATTTTATGAATTTACTACTGTACAGTTTGAATTCTCACACACTCTAGTCTATAGCCAAAGAGAGGAAAGTGAAAAATAGAAATACAGTTTAATTCGCAGCAAACTGAACTGCAATGAAACCAACCCTCTGCACCACCAGTGCATGAGGATGAGGATGTTGGGTTTGTCTTCCCACTGTTATTAACATTAAAGCTTGTTTGTCCTGAATAATACAGAAGGAAAAGGGGGAAAATAGCATATTAAATTGTACAGTTGCAAAAAAAAAAGCAATTGGATTATTTTCCAAAATTGTTTAGTCCTAATATACTCTCACAAGTCACGCTTTCATCCAAGCAGGGGTTGACATTACTCTGTGCCACTATAGAAACTTTGCCCTTATTTTTGCAGCTCTAATAGTAGCTAGCATATTTAACAGTTTATCAGTAGATCAAGAATTGTTTGAAAATACCATCTTAACATTCAAAACCACAAAAGCTTGAGGGAATACTGCAGTGTGATGTGCATTGCTCTTGCTGCCTGCCTCCATATTGGGCTTCTTTTTTTTTAAATCTCCCATTTAGGACTGGAAAAGTTGGAAATCTTCATTTCCTAAACATAGCGAGTGTGATGGATAGTTGATACCATCACAGGGCTGGCAGTACACTATCAGCCTAAGCTTAAATAAAATCTAGTGAGCTCTATTACAAATACAGTATATTTGAGCTGTTTCGAGTATAGAATGAAAATGTTTTGTATAAGCTTTCAGGCTGGACAGCTAGAACACTTATTGGTGTATCAGTGTGGCAGATTTTAATTTCCTGATGGAGCACTTCCAAATTTGTTTTCCTTCACTAAAACAGCTGCCCTCCTGAGCCCTGCTTTGCATGATTTGATAAACCTTTTCTAACGGGGAATATAGTAAACGGTACTGCAGGGTGTGTTGTGGAGAAAGCTGGCAAGGGAACAGGTTGACCTCATCTTGCTGCTCAGAATATAGTCAAAGGGGTGCCTCACAGCATAAGTGTTGTTACAACACAAGTGAGTTTTCCATCAGGGATACTTATTTAAAGAGACTGCAGGGACACTAAGAGCCCAAACCTTTCTGTGTCCCTTTAGATAAACTTCTAGAAACAAAACCTTTTTTAATGAGTTGGGGACATAAGGCAATAAAAATGATAATAAAAAAAATATACAGAAATATCTAATTAGGTTTTTATGTAAGTAACATGGTTGTGTAAATGCACTTTTTGTGTGTGTGGGTGTGTGTAAATGCACTGTTGATTAAAGTATGGAAACCTCTGGGGATCAGCTGCTTGCATCTCAGTGAATGTGCCCCAGAATGAAAGTAGGTAACAGACTGTAGTAAGGCGCACAGATAAGTATTTTGAATATGGTTTTCACAGATGTTAAGTATCACGAAATGTATTTTCCTCCCCTGGTCTTTTTGTGTTATACACAATTGAATTTCAGTATAATTCAGCAAGATGTGTGTGAGCGTGAGTTACATTATCTGCTCTCAAACTCGTACATGATTTGGAAAGAGGCAAGAATAAACCCTGTTAAAGGACATATGTTCCTGATGATGCTTTATTTCTCTCTTTGTCTGTTATCCTCTCTCCCTCTCTGTTGGTTGCCTGGAGACCTGCAGTAGGATGCATGGAAATGACAGGAAAAGGTCAGGCAAGCCTTTGAGAAGTTAGTCATCTACTATGTGGAGGTGTTGGACGAGTTGCAGTGGATTGAGCAGATTGGTGATTGTGTTCTCAAGCACCATACTTCTACATGCTCTTTTGTTCTGGTCCATTTGACATGTGTTTGGTGTGACGGGAGTTTTTATTCAGGGTAGTTTGTCTAAGAGAAACTTTTCTTTTACAGCAATGTCTTGATCACGTTCACATGATCACACATTCATTCCTGAAAGCTGCCCAGTAGACAGTCTGACCTGGCCACAGTAACCTGGAGCCTCATTTATAACTGTTGTGTGTGAACAAAATAGAGCTCGAGACATGCATAGCATGCATGCAAAGACGGGATTTATAAAAACAAACTTGACATGATAATGTGTGTACTTCCCTGGAAACTCTGACCCATGTGTATACTCATTTTGGGTATGAGTGAAATTGGTATTACAGATGGTGAAGCAGTGAATTGAAACCAGATTGTATATTTATCCTTCTTACAGGTTTAATTTTGCTTCATATCAAACCAATAATCATGAGTGCACAGTGCAATACACGTTCAGGTATCTGTGTTATACAGTATTGTTTTCTCGTTTGTAGGAGGCTAATTATTCCATAAGCACCTCTCTGATTTAAAAGACAAAGGCCAATCCAGATCTTAACTACTTACATCTGTGGTTCATTATTAAGCTGCCATTAATTAATTGAACATGTGGCACTGGCTCATCACCACATTCCTAAACACTCAGAGGAGAGGGTTGGTCCATTTGATGCTCACAGTCAGTCATGGTTGGTTTTTAGCCAGAGTGCACCAAATGGGAAGAAGAATGCTGTGTCAGATGGCAGGTCTGGAAACGTCTGGCTCGCCATTCCCTGATAATCTTTTCATTTCGACCACAGTAAGCTAATTGAAGAAATAGTCATCAATTTTCTTTATAGAAATTGGGAAAATTCCTTCTAAGACTTTTAACAGAGTCTTCTAATATGGTGAATATTTGGCCAATTATAATTTAAAATAATTTTCATATATTTTTGTTTTGTATAAAAGCTCCTCGGTGAATACGACTGCTGTCTGGGTCACCAGGTGCACAGCGTATGTTGGAGAAACTGTGGTGCTGCTAGACATTCTCTGTCATCTCCTGTCACCTCACCTATCTCCTGCTTTCATCATCATCTGTGAAGACGAGTAAAAAAAACATGGCTGGTTTTGGGAGGTGTGATTTCATCAGCTATCTACTTGCCTATAGCCTTTACATGCTGAACAAATACCAAGCTTCAATGTCCCTGTGTCTCTGCCAGCTGGTCCGTACTGGTCCGTTTAAGATATCCACCTCCACGCCTGACCACTTAGCTCAAGTTAATGATTTTCCTCTTTGCTGTGTTAACAGCTTCTACAGCTATCAGCCTCTCAAACTTATCTTTTTTTTATATGCACTCTTCATCCTCCACAGGAACAATGTGTATATCATGTTTTGCATTGGTCATTTATGGTTAATTGTGGGACTGTTTTAGATGGGATATGCAGCTCACCAAAGTGCACACTGTCTCAAGTTAATTGTGGTTAATAAAATTTGCACAGATGTGTGCATGTACACAGTTTTATAAATAAAGACAAGAAAGGACTCAGATTTGTTCTTTAGTTTTTCTACAGATGGTGTAACAGGCAGGCAGTTCAGCATAGTGTTTTTTTTTGTTTTTTTTTAATAGCATCATTCTTTGTAACATGCTAAAATGGCATATGTTGTTTGCTGGGGATCCAAACTAATGACCTTCTGTTTTATTGTCTTTGTGTACAGGTATGGCCTCACAAGTCTTGGTCTACCCACCACACATTTATCAAACCCAGACAAGTGCCTTTAGCAGTGTGAAGAAACTTAAAGTTGAGCCCAGCAGTTGTGTGTACCATGAGAGGGCACACCCCCGGACTTATCTGAACAGCAGAACCCTTGGCATTGTGCACACAACGAAACAAGCCCACTCGTTTGTGAAGCGAGACTTAGCAGTGGGTGTGAAAGTACGTGGAGGACAAGAGTATCCAGTGCAGACGGTGGTGGTGCGTGGCGTACAGAGACAACAGCCAGGTAGAAGAGGAGGAGGCGGAGGACCAGGCCCAGCTGCAGCCCAGCAGCAGCAGGACACAGGGGCTGTCCACTCGCAGGGCAAGGAGCAGCAGCAAACAGACACAGGAAGTGGGGGCAGCAGTGGAGCAGCAGGGGCAGGAGGAGGGGGAAGGGGAGAGGGCTGCGGTGGACAAGGTGAGAAAGGCAGGGAGGAGGAGGAGGGTGACAGAGACGAGAACTGTGGAGGTTTGAACTCAGCAGACAGCTCTCAGCGATGTGGGCTGAAACGTAAAAGTGAGGAGTTGGATAACCGAGGGAGCACCATGCAGATTGTGGAGGAACTGTCAATGTTGCCTGCCATGTTGCAAACGACGAATGTGGGGAACACGGCCGTGACTGCACCTGCGGTAGTAGGGGCTGGAGGGGGCCCGTCTAAACAGGTTGCGGGGCCTGGGGGTGTAGGTGCAGCAGGAGGGACGGGAGGAGGGGATGGGGACTATCAGGTAGTACAACATGAAGTCCTATGTTCTATGAAGAATACTTATGAAGTGCTGGATTTCTTGGGACGTGGCACATTTGGCCAGGTTGTAAAGTGCTGGAAGAGGGGCACAGGTGAGGTAGTGGCTGTGAAGATGCTGAAGAACCACCCTTCATATGCACGGCAGGGTCAAATCGAAGTCGGCATCCTTGCTCGTCTGAGTGGGGAGAATGCAGATGAGCACAACCTGGTGCGAGCCTTTGAATGCTTCCAGCACCGCAGCCATACCTGCCTGGTGTTTGAGATGCTTGAGCAAAACCTGTATGATTTTCTGAAGCAGAATAAGTTCAGCCCTCTGCCCCTGAAAGTGATCAGACCTGTGCTACAGCAGGTAGCTACAGCTCTGAAAAAGCTGAAGAGCATGGGCCTGATTCATGCAGACCTGAAGCCAGAGAACATAATGCTGGTGGACCCAGTGAGGCAACCATACAAGGTGAAAGTGATAGACTTTGGCTCAGCCAGTCACGTGTCCAAAGCAGTGTGCTCCACGTACCTCCAGTCTCGGTACTATAGGTGAGTACAAAATAATTTGAGATTTTTGTCCTTTTTAATTTCTCTGTGTTAGTGTTCAACACATTCGGGTAAAAAAAAAAAAAAGCTGTCCTATCTCCAGCAAAGGAAGGAATGTCTCCCATACTGCAAAACATCCTGCCTATTTATGAGCCACACACCGCAGAATCTGGAAAAAATGTGGTCCTGCAGTGTTTACTAGCAGGCTACACACTGGCTGTTCAGGTCCCTACTGCCTGGAAAAGAAAACTGTGTTCTGCCAGACTTTACAAAAAATGTGGAATCAGTGTTTAATTAACTTGGTGAACATTTCTGCTGTTTTTTTGTGTAGCTCCAATTTTCCCTGAATGGATTAATGGAAGTTATGAAAGAAAAAATATTTTCAGACACACTAATACATGGTGTGAACAGTTAGGTTATGTAAAGACTGGGAGCAAAATTACTGGAAGCCATTCCAAACTTAACTCCACTGTTATGGGCCATGAGCTATGACATGGTAGTACATACGCCAGCTAATGTTTGTGTTAGAAGGATGCCTTTGTTTTTGTTGGTCTTGGATGTGCAATATGTTGAGTGCTTTGGTTTGATTAGAAAAATAGACCTTGAATGATGTCAACTGTTGCATAAGAGGCAGGAGTGACCCGGCTGTCTGTTTGGTTTGTATCATTCCCTAGTTTGCATAAAGACTTTGAGATAATAAGAACATTTAAGTAAGCCATTTTGTAATAATAGTCCCCTCAGATGACAGTTTGCTTAGGAATCTGTATATATGCATGCATTCATATCTTATAAAGAGTAAATGGTTTTCGTACAGTATGTATGCTATTTTCTTATTTATTACCTTCTGACATTATCAAGTACTATTGCCACATCTTTCTAGTCAAACCAAATGTTTTAATCTTATCATGGCAGCATATATTTGATAGTTTGATTAACCGTTGTGAAATAATTTGAATTCAAACCAGGATGCCTGGATTGTGCTGTCCCTCTGTTAGTGACCCACTCCTGTGAGGACACAGTGGAAATGCTTGTGATTACACCATGTCACAGTTAAAGTGCTATTGAGCTAATGGGAAAAGGCCATATTCAACCAAATCGAAGTGACACAGAGCCTGTCTCCATCAGCTGCATTTCAGTCTTTCATCTGCTGTAACAGATATGCTTCCTTTTTAATCAGTGCACCTGTTTACCCAGAGCCTGCAATGTCTCGTGCTTCACTCGAGCTTTGCTTACACTTGAGATGCATAACTGTGACCCAGCCTGGTTTTGTGTTTGTTTAAATCTATATTTACACACACAAATAGATTATAATGCATGAAGTGACAATCTTTATATGTTGCTAGGTGTGACTGAGCCTCCACAGTTGGCACAGGAAGAATGGAAATAAATTTAAAAAGTGACTGCAAAGTGATTAAATTAACCATTTAAAAAGTGACTGCAAAGTGACTGCAAAGTGATTAAATTAACAATGAAAATAGAGAATAAACTACTAGTAAACTTTAAGATAATGTAGAGCTGTATACAGTATATTGCCCTTATCACAGACTTTACTGAAGACACCTTTGCAACATTATCAACTGTCTAATCATCTCAGCAGCTGCAGTAATATTCATCAAACTTGCAACAATGTGAACAGTAGTGTCCATAAATGCAGTCAGTAACAATGACTAGCCTACTACATTTTACAGATTAACTATAAAAAGAATGCATTGGTTTCTGGTCAGAGTGACTGCTGACAGAAGAGATGAGGCACCAGGTTTAATCAAGCCTGGCTGTTAGCCCTGTCTGGAGGCTAACATGTCAGACTGGGAAAAAAAATGTTAAAAGTCCTGTGTCTATGCTGTTTGACAAGGCATGCACTCACCAAACACAATGCATTCCTGTCCTGTGTTCGGGCCTATGTACATTCCAGGTTTCAAAACTCTTCAAGTAATCTTCTAGTTATGTCAGGTGTTCCATTAAATATACGCATCCTGTATATTTAACGTTAAAAGATAAGGTTGGTCAATTTCTGTATTGATAGTTTTCAACAATCCCTATATAGAGACTAAAACCACCAATTAATTACTTTGCTAATTAGCAAATTATTTAGTTTTTGGGAGTGAAGGTAATGGCAGCAATAGTGCTGTTTTTGATTTACTGTTATTTCTTTTTACTTTTTTTATTATTAGCAGCTGTCAGGACTTCTGTGGCTTGTTGTTGAAACCCAGCTTTTGGTTTTCCTGTTCTAATGATCATGAGAATAAATTCAAAAGTTGTGATCTTGTAACAGATGTAGGAATACAGAACTGTTTACAGACCCCTCCTCCAGCACAAACTAAAATTGAAGATCCCCACCACACTGAAAGTTTTTTTTTTTTTAACCTTTTCCAGTGAAGGTTTAGAAGCCTTTATTTTCCATTAAAAAGGTTATTTGTGTTTTACGTTTTGGATAGTATTCGGGCATAAATTAGTCTGAATTCATTTGTTTATATGTTGTGAGGGGCTGCTACATGTTTTGCATTCTACTCATTATATAAAATTCCCAACCTTTATTCTTGTTTATTATTTTTTTGCTAAACTGTTGCTAGTTAGTAAGTGTTTAAAAGATCATAACATAGGAAAGAAGCACACTGCATTAAAAATGCAGTTCCTGCCACAACACCAGTGCACTGTTAAAAGAGGAACTGCAGCAGCCGAGAAATGGTTCTGTACATAATAAAATTAGCGAGCCAAAATATTGTTCAGTGTGGGGTGGCCAGACTTTGGCCAGTGGTGGCCGTGGGCCTTCCCGGCTCTGCCTGTGCCATAGACCTCAACTGGCAAGATCAAGTCAGTTAAGGTTGAAGAGAATTAACATAGTCAGGTCAGTGCTATCTGTTTTAGTGGAAAGCTTTTACATGGCATTTGAATAATTCTCACAGCCTGCACACACAGCCAGTGAAGCAGCATGCTCTGCAGAGAATTAAAATACCAAAAATGCCGATTTGTCTGTATTTGCATTTACTATAAGGTTTCTCGCTGACTAAAATGAGAAGACAACACTTAGGCCCATTCATTGGCCATAGCTTTATAGTAGTTTTTTAATACCTGTCAAAGATAGGATTTGCATTCTCTTTGCATCCAACTCGTTCATCAAGATTTTTTGTGATTATTGTAAATGGGCTTTGTGTCAAGATGTTGTTCAAAATAGAACTGTCATATTTTGCTGTATATTTGTGGAGGAGGAAGTGAGCACTGCAGCTGCTTTGACCCTGTTTGTAAGCTCTGTCAACCTTTAACTTTAGTGACCAGCTGTTTCTCGCATGGTGTATTTTGATACAATATATATCAGTACAGTATGATAATTATCACCATCATTTGGTGGGTTTTTGAGGAATTTGAATCAGAATTTGTTGATGCCACTAAATGTTAAATACTTCTGTTTTCCCAGTTATATTGTGCAATAATACTCACAGCCTCAGTCATAAGCTACAAACAGAAAGGAAGTTTCATCACATTTCATTATGGACTTTAGTAAATATTATTTAATATTAGATGAATATTTTAAATTATTATTGATGTTATTCTCTTGTCAGGACAAAGCTATAATTACAAGTAACAATGACATGAAAACTGCTGGCTTGTAAGTGTAAAAATGATGTCCCTCCATGGTTGTACCCCCTCATAGATAGGAGAATGCAAAGCATACAGTGGGGGAACAGTGTTACCAAGGCTGAGAGTGAAGAGTTGCTTAAAATAGCTTGTGGGACACCAGCCAGTTTGGTTTGACTTCTATAGATGGTAAAGCGCATAAGCAGCCAGAATGAAATAAGGACAGCTTGAAATACTAGAGAGCTCTCTGTTACTTGTTCAAGGTCAGCCCGTTCTCATGTCAGCTGTTTGATTTTCATATGCCCATTTGTGTTTGGTGATGTGCACAGTACTACATATTTCTTGGTCCGCAATATTAGGTGTCTGGTAGATGCCTGAAAACTCTCAGCCTCTCAAAACAATGGGTTTTACAGATACACCCACTGCTTTCACAGTTTACATGCCTTTGGCCATTGCCCACTCGTAATTGGTCACCCCGGTTTACACAGTCAGGGGCTCTCATGACTCAGTCACAGCATGAAAATGAAACCTTAACCTCCTTCATTAAGTTCCTGATTACCATTTATCATCTTGTTGATGTTGAAGCGTATTTATTGAGTGTTATTACTGTTCTGTTTGCAAACCATTGTATGTCCTAATTTGTAAAATTATTCTCATCTTACTGTTGACTACCTGATTCCCACAGGAAAAAAATGCCATTTTCTATCAGGAAATGGTGAGAAAAAATTGTCTTAAAATTTACAAGATGACGCAGTTTAATTGTTTTGTTATTCTTTTCAACTTTATAATTTTCTGAAGTAATCATGAGGAAGTACAAAATGATTGTGGTAGGTAAAAATGAGACTAATAATACTAATAAACCTTCTTTCATGGTTACATTTACTTTTAATTTTATGATAACAGTTTTTGCATTAGAAATTTTGACATACAATAGCAAAATTACAGTTGTTTGTGCCCCTATGCATCAATTTGGCATAAATACAGTACAACAGATAGATCTATTCCAGATTGTCCACAGTGGACCAGTACCTCTGTGTAAACCATAACCTGTTGGTCATTGTTCTATCATCACAGAATATTTGTATGTATTTAAGACTACTGGATTAGATTTGCCTTAAAAAAAAAAATAGGTCTGACATTTTTGCAGCACAAGCAAGCAATCCCCCAGTCAGTCCTATGTTGTGGGTAAGTGTGTGTGTGTGTGTGTCTCTGTGTGAAAGACTGGGCACACACATCTCCACTTCTTTGACCTGTATACTCAGATGGGTTAGTGGATATTATTTCCAGGTATTTGTATGTCCAAAGTAGTTTACAGTCTGTCATGTAGCAAGAACCTAAATTATGTATCATTGCTTCTTGTCATACTATTTTTGAACCATGATGTATTTTATTGACAGAATGTGAGCATTTGATTTTTCAGTCCACTTTGA